TTACCGCCGTGGTAAACAGCCAGTCAGTGTGAAGGGGCTAAATGGAACTGAGAGAATGGTGGAGAGAAAATGGAGCCATAATTTTGTATTTTTGTCATGTTTGTTTTCATTCGCCACTCAGGAACTCCACTTCCTGACAGATGACTCAGTTTGTACAGCAACGGGTTTGAGCAGTGGGTTTGAGCAATTTCTCCTTCGAATCAGAAAGTCTCCTTCATCTGACTGTAGAGGAAAGGAGAGGTGCTGTAGACATGCCCTGGAGTTTGCTTTTGATGAGGCAAAGAGAAGAAATTAAAGGCACAGTTAACAACTCCAAAATAACTTTTCACATCTAATATTCTCTACTGGCTTCTTGATCTGTAGTATGTTTGTGTTTGGTTTCACTTTGGCGGTTTCGTTAAAAACACATTCATTTGGAACTGAAAAAAAAAGGATTTGTAATCTGCATTCAGTACATATCCGACCAAAAGCTGTGGCTTTTCTGTTGTTGTGGCACTTTGTCATTTGATCCAAATTAAATAAATGTGGCATCTATCTGTAGAACTACTATTTACTCTACTGCATACATGAAAATGTGCTGGTAGGGTACAACACTAGCACCACACAAGCCTGCTAGCCTCAAGACACAATTAAAATGGATGGAGTGTATCACAATTGCATTAACTCTGGGCAAATTATCATTCTTATTTGTAAATGAATTGTGGCATTTAATGATATTATGCAGAAATGATGGTATAATAATTACAAGGCTGTAATTCTACACACAGCAGCAAAGTCTGATCACATAAATATAAGCTTTCCTGCTGTATGTCATGCGTTTTAAACAGCCGTGTTGCCTGTCACTGAATATATTCAATGTTTATTGCTCCAGTGTGTCTTTAGTAAGATATTTAATTTTTACAGCAAACTGTGTAGGATGGAAATCTGGCTAATGACAGACTTTCAGACATTCTCCAGCTAGTTTCTCCTGCAGTATGATGTCTTTAAAGTCATTCCTTTAAAATACAAGTTGTCTTCAGGGCTTCCTTTGAAGGTTTAATCTTGGAAAACAGAGAGACATCTTGGGGATTATTCGAAATGTCTACAACATGTCAACATGGGAGGACTTGTAGCATAGCTGAGAAGGTTTAACTGCCAAGGTAATGACAATTAGAAGGGTAGAGTGGCTCAGCCAGTGTAATTTTAGGGTCAGCATGTTCAGGGCCTGCAGTTAAACCTTTGCCATTTAAACACGACTGTGTGATTGGAATTACATCGTACTCCTTAAAAACCCCTCAGCACTGTTGCATGTTAAGCAATAATTCTTTCAGTGAGAGACTTGTTACTAAAGGTTAGTGCAGAAAGTACTCTGCCAGAATTTGAACAGGCATTTGCTTGATGGGCGCCCACATTTAGTAGGGAAACGAACACATTTCAACTAAGAAGAAAAGGTAAATGGCTTGCGGGTAGGTTCAAACTTCAGAATTAAGTCTGGGGCCTTATAGCCTATGGTGAGAGATGATGTGAGCCAGTGAGCTCAGCTAGCTGCCTGCTGAGACTGAGAGCGTTCTGTCATATCTCACTCAGCACAAACAGAAAAGTTCATCATTGGCTTAAAAATTCTCTTGTCTTGCCCCACTGCTTTCCACACAGATGGACGATATGTATTTCTCAAAGAGGGATAAAGCAGCAAATAAAATGTTTCCATAAGATCTGAGCTGGAGATTTGTAGGCGGTTAATGTAGGTATAGGCTCAGGTACCATTACACACTGGAATACGTCTCACAGGTGGTTACAACTGCATCAACCCCTTTAAAATGTGCCATTCATATGGTGCAATATCCCAAGGATTTTATTAGAAATGACCTGTTTGAGGGAAACATGCTCCAAACATTTTATTGTTGACATTTATAGCGCTGCTCCACAGGAAATAACAGATGATGATATCATTCATTTGAAAGAGAGACAGCAGGACTAGGTGGAACACTTGACCTGTTTGTTTGGGGAAATGGTATTCCTTTGCTAATTTCCCTTTGATAAGTATCTGACAGCTCATAGTCAGGCGCTTTATCTCCGGCTGAAGAAAATGGTTTCTTCAGAGTGTGAATTGATTTTTGCAGGAAGCCGGTGCCACACAGCATCTGAAAGAGCTCACTGCTTTTTTAAATTGCACTCATTTTTTGGCTTTTCTATTTGCATGTAAATTATCAATTACTGCTTTTGGCAGGCCTCTGCTACCATACTTCTGTCTCAAATGAGAGAGTGCTGTTAGGGGGGAGCTGTGTTATTTCACCTTAACAAATCATTTTAGTACTCCCCTCTCCAGCTGCAATTACCAACTGTTTGCTCTGTTGGCTACATTGATTTTTTTCTGCATGTCTCTGCATTTAGACTGGTTGGGTTTTTAAATTGAATGGAGAGTGTATTATGAGGAGGTAAGCTGTACTTTAACGTTCTTCTCAATTCCAGGGCGTCTCATACAGTGGAGTGAGAGGCATACAGCTCCTCCACTGAGCACTTTAGCTGAAGCATTTAGAACTAGATGTGAACGATTCCATCGAATGAGAGAAGTGATGGGTACATGTTACAGTTGGGCCTGTTGGTATATTATAGGCATGAAGAAGGAAACGTGGAAACTATAAAGAAGGTACTAATTTACTATATAATGATGTTCTAAACTGAAAACATATATTATGGTTAAGTCTAGGGTAAGGGTTGCTGGTTATGTTTAGTTGGCTATGAGCAGAATTTGTATTTTTTGGCCACGTTGGCACCATCTAGGCTGAAAAAATGGCTGGAATGTCTAGTTTCTTCACTGATATCTGAATGCATCTCTTGAAAAAAAATGACATTGAAAGCCAATGGATTTTTGGGTCTTTTCAGTTTGTGTACCTTACCTCAGCAGACTGCTCTGGACAGATTTGAGACAAGAAGTCAAAGCTGGCCGACCTGGTGGCATGTCAACTTTGTCCAGTTTTGGCCAGGTTCTAAAGACAGTGTGAGATGCTCTGAACATCACCAGCTTGGCTGTGGCCCAACAAAAATTTGGCTTATGGAGACGTGGTGTTGGATATGTGTAGCATTCATAATCTGATAACCACATGGATGGATGAAGCTAATAATGCCTGCTAAAGACCATTCTTCTCACTCCATGCGAGAAGAACACAAAGCACAGGCACTTTAATAACACTAGAAAAAAGATGTTGACTCGAGTGTGCATGCTAGTTGATCTGTCAAAAAGACACCCTATTCCGAATTTTGTAAGCTGTTCTTCCTATAGTTAATATTCATCGCCAGTGGAATGATGTAGTGCCGCGCATCTGTTCCATTTTTTTCTGTCCAGACTTTCCTCCTCCGAACGCAATTGCGGATCCGCACCAAATTTTCTACTACATTTATTTCCTCATGAATGTTTGCATATTTCAGTGATTGCTTTCTAGTAGATTCAAATATGCAGAAATAGCAGTCTCTCTCTCTCTCTCTCTCTCTCTCTCTCTCTCTCTCTCTCCTAGAGTGAAGCATGTACTCGTTTCAGTCACTCTAATTGTGTTTGTGTAAAATGGTCAATTGTTCCACTTGCACAAAGAATGAAGTAGGTTAATAGTGCTATTTTGCATTGAGACATAATGGTAGAGGATCCTTTTTCTGATCGCTCACAGTTATTTTAACTGAGCTTTGTGACAGAGATACTCAGCATGTAGTCCTCTTAGCAGAAATGTTCACTCATGATAATCACAATTCTTAAGCCTCTGTTTATGCACTTTATATCAAAATTAGCTGTGTGGTGGGTTAAAATAATCATGAAAGATTAAACAAATCAAAAGGTGTTTGTATATAGAAGTTACATTCTAGACTGTATGAATATTATGAAGAGGTGTGAAATTTTCCTGGACTGCCCGATTACATGCTATGGCTTGACCAGGGCTGTGCAGTTCATCTTTCTGAGTGTTCGCCATCCTTTCAGCGGAAGACGTCCATGTCTCATACTCTGAAAGCTGAGGCAGTGGGCCATTCAATCCAGTTAACAGCTATCCGAGCCTGGTCCGGTGAGAAGAGCTCGTCATTATCACCTGCAGATTCCTCTTACACGGTGCTGCTTGACCTTCCTTACACCGTCACTCTGAGAGGGGCACCAGCATACAGCCCATGGGGCACACACTCATGCCAGGAAACTTAACAGCCTCCTCCGCCATCACTTATATAGAGTTAATAGCCACTTAATTGGCTTACCTGTCAATGTGCTATGAGTTGTGAGGTCAGTAAATTAGATTTGGCACTGACATGTACCACCATACATGTTTATGGCACTTCAGTTACATAAAGTATCACCCCTTTCTCTTTTACCCACTCACGCTCATGCCGTCCTTACCTTGCAGTGAACTGTGAAGGAGCTTACCCAGGCGTTTAGGAAACGTATTAAACTGTGGTAACTGCTATATGTAATGAATTTTGGATTAGGAGCGACAAAGCGGCTCTGTGATAACCTTTTTGGAAGGACACTGTATGAGAGCAGGGGGCCTGTGCTGCAGCAGGATGCTGGGCCAGCTGCTTGTAGTTAGAGGCCTGCATTCGATGTCACTTCGGCGAAACTAGGGATGTCCCGATTATGGTTTTGCTCCAATCACTGGCACGGTATTTTTGTAGTAGACCACACAGTACATACTTTAAGTCTGTTAGCCTTAGCATTTAATTTAATTAATGTAAGAGATACTGTTTGGCCAGTTACTTTAAAATGCTGCGGTTAGATCGCCTCATTTTCAGGATGTGCATCATGTAACACTGATACATTTGTTGCTTTTATTTCTGACTACTTTTTTGAAATGTCCATTTTATGGTCACTTGCCGCAACTCAAACAAAACGTGCCGCTGCCACATCAGAGCCACGCAAGAGGCATCACTGGTGTGGGAAATGTCAGCTCGTCAGGGGCCGGCGTGTGAAGTGACTCACGCTGCTCGAGAGCTGCTCTGGGAGGACAGTATAATTTTGAGCTGAGTGTAACATGTCCTTTATCTGTTTGCAGGTGCGGTGGAGCCCGGTGCAGAGCCGAGCCTGGAGAGGGACCTTCCCCACGGACTATATGAAGGGAGGGGTGGGGGAGGGGGGGCCACTGACAAGACGACAAGCCTGCAGAACAAACAGGTTGGAATGCCTTTAAATTTTTATATAGCTTTAAAAAATGGTGGTGGGGGATGGTGGTGGGGGTAATTACATTTGCGATTCGAGCCAGAGTGACCCTGAGGCTGCAGTTTGAATGCCCTTCTTTTTGCTTCATTTAATATTGTTTTGTTCTATTCCTGGCTTAACATCATCACATTTATCACTGATTTCTCTTCTACTCTTTTCACAATTGACCTATCCATGTCCTGTCCACCAGTGTGTTATTTTGTAGCGACTGTTGCAAGCTTGGACAAGCTTTACAGATCCTTGGCGAACTACATTCAACCTAATGAGAAATATTAGTGATTTCTTGTTTGTTTAGAGTTGCTATAAAATTAAGGTCCCCGTTTAAAATCGCATTTTACAAAACTGGACTATGTTGTAGCTCATTGAAATTAGGCCAGATTGGAAACGACGGCTATGAATTTGCCACCATGCTGATATTAGCTTGATTACATCACCAAAATGAGCAAATAAATAAAAACAGCTACGTCCAGGCTGTCCTGACAATGTGACTTTTCACATGCATACAAATTAAACATCATATAAAGATCATTTAAAATTAATAACACCCTGAATTTAAGCATTTTGACAAAATGATTTGTGGGCCACGTTTCTCATTAGGTTAAATGGGATTTTTGCCTACATTCTGTCAACCGCACAACAGTTGCTACTATTGAAAGCATTTATTGGTGGACCATGGATAGGTCAGTTGTCTTGTTAAAATCTGCCACGCGGCAGTCCTACTTGGCCTCCTCACATGATTTATAGACACACAGTTATAGCGCTTAGCACCTTGCCACGGGCTTATTATTCAGTTATTAATAGTGTGACTTACCATAAATAGCTACAAGTAACTATTTATAAGCAACTACTCTGAATTATTCAGTGCATATGCTGTGATGAGAGAGTAACTGAAGTGATCGTTGCAGTTTAAGAGATTTCAGAGCTGTGCAGATATATTTGAAGTATTGTAATACAATACACACAGAGCAATGTGCAGATATTTACAGAATTAACCCTTGAAACCCGGAGGGCCTGTTAAACAGTCATGACCAAATTATCACACAAGCAAAATCCTTCAAACCGTGTTTCCTTTTAGTGCACTGGGACAGCTGGCAGTTTTCTTGGCCATTTGTTGTGAAATGTTTGCGTGTTGAGGAAGTTTGTGCCCAGTGCATTATGAGCATGACGAGAAAGCACTGGGTTAATCTGAGCAACCTGGAGGCCTGTGAGTAATATGTGGCGGAGGTGCGGCCGAGGCGTCTGGTAGTGTTTACTCCCTGCATCTGAGCCTGGCTCACGTCTGTGGATGCCTCGGGCCCTCAGGGCCCCAGCACCTGCATAATGGAACAACAGAGCAAAAAGGGGGAGTAAGGGGGGGGTGTGGAGGGGGTAGAGGAAGAATCAAATAACAGAAACTTGGGCTTCATACTGCAAGCATTTCTTGTTTTTGATGTGCACCAGGAAAAGATTTTCATTAATCGATAGGCTGGTATTGATACCATTGAGCAGCCTCGGCGTCGTTTCGTAAGCATTCATTTCACCCTGGCATAGTAAGAGCTTTTTTTTCCTGCTGTCTGGCATCCTGTGGCTGAAAACTAAATTCTTTGAAATGACTCTTCAGTGCCTTGCACAATGATTTAAAAGAATCTATTTATATAATTATTTTTTCCCCCCGCTAGCTTTTTAGTGAGGGATTAAGAATTGGGCCAGGCGGAGGAAGGGAGGGAGGGAGCGGGTGAGTGAGGGAGAGAAAATAAATAAATAAGGGCGGCGGTAGTTAATCTCGCTTAGTGCAGTGTGAATGCTGAGCAGTGCTGTGGCCTGACAAACATCTGCCTCACACACAGCCGAGTGGGATCAGCTAAAGCGATTAGCGTGCTAACGTCAGCCTGTGGAGACTGGCGCTCAGCTACAAAAGCCAGAACGCCAGGCTCTCCTCCCACACTCCACCTGGAACACTGACACACACAGAGAGAGGCCCAGCTCCAGCGGCAGCCGCCACACACTCCCGCTCTACACCCAGCGCTCTGATACTCATCTGCACGCGCAACAAAGCGACGAGTAGCTCAGAAGATCCAACAATCTGGTTTAGGATAACAGACGCTTATCGCTGCCACTTTTTTTCCTTTTCTTATGTCAGAAATGCCGTTTATTAATTGCAAAGTATGTAATGAAATGTGCTGTTCATTAGGGTATAATTGTAATTTTACACTTCCTTTGCACTCAGAAGGGGCCTCTTTCAGATAGAAGAAATCCTTCCGTTGTGACTAGCAAAAAGAGACTGTATCCTGCACAGGCTTTCACAGTTAACCTCATTAAAGGAAAGGAGGGGTGATATTTCCTGCAAGGGGTTTCTCTTACTATTTCTTTCGTTCTTTCCTTTTTTTTTCCCTCTGCCTCTCACGCGTGCACTCTCTCTCTCCCCCCCCGCCCCCTTCTTTCTCTTTCCCTCTCTCTCTCTCTCTCTCTCTCTCCCTCTCTCTCTCACATTCTCTCTCTCTCTCCCTCTCCCTTCAGTCTAATCTTGAACCGTTTCTCAGTCTCTAGCCATGGCAGAGGCAGTGCATAACTGTACAACATGAGAGTCTAGAGAGACTTTATCTGTTCTTTGGATACATAGCCTCTAATATCCAGGCTCACACACAAATCACACAAATAAAATAAAATACAAAGTCATATTTTCAGATTATTAGATATCCAAAATGAAGGTTAAATTCTACTTTAAATCTTAAATCAACTTTTTTCATGAAGCAATGCTTTTGAACAACATCCCAAAAGTTTTTGGTCTGGATAAGCCATGCCGTTCTGGTGCTGTGCAGATATGGGGATGTTAGCCTTCACCAGTTTAATCCTAAAGTTCTAATTCTTTACAAAGAACATGTTACATATGACATACTGAACAGACAACTTTAAAAATTTACAAAGAAATTAAACATCTGTTTGGCTGAAACTGTTTTAAATGTACTAATAGCAGGGTGGAAGAATAATGTAAGGAGAAAAACTAAAGCAGGGGAGTGGAGGCGGGGGGCGAGGCAGGCTACGAGAATCCGAAACTGAAATCTGAACCTGACCCGAGTTTGGAAAATGATGTCCGAACATGACCCAACCATACAGTGCAGTTCTTTACTACCTGTCCTACACCACACTGTCCGTCACAAGTTTGGGGACACCTTCACTTCTTTTGAAGATTTTTCTAGTACTTTACTATTCATTTTAACTTTACATCCATCAGTGTATCTTCCATGGTGTGAATAGATTGGAGAAGATTGATCAGAATAGATAGTGAGTAGATTTTGTCTAAATAATGATATGATGATATGATTTCTTTTCCCAACTATTATTAAAAGCATATTAAAAATCTTTCTAAAAACTCAAAGATGGTTTAAACACCTGAAGGTTTTGAGTGCAGATGTCACAACAAGGAGATAAAATGTCTGTGGTTTGCCTTTATTTCCAAGATAGCACTGTCACTAATAACGTGATTAATATGTACACAGGTAATGGTTTTTCTTGAACTAAACTGGTTGGTCTTTAATAGGTCTGTTAAAGCCTCTACAAGCCAACAAAGAAAATGTTTGTATTTCAAAAAAAAACTCATTTGTCTACAAAACGCTTGAAATAATAAGGTGTCCTCAAACTTTTGAAGGCTAATGTATTTTCCCACTGCGCCTTTTTGAAACGAGTCGTGATGAATTCTTTGTCATAAATGAAGATGAGTACAGTGCACTGATTCTGTTTAACATGTGCTCAGGATGATGTTTTTGGATCAGGGCAAAAACACATTTCTGTATTCACGGCGAGGAGCAGCTCATGCCAGAGCACCCATGGTATGCGGGGAGAAATGAACTTGACAGGAAAGTTCTTTCTGGGAGTGCACTTGTGCCACATGGTGTACATGATAAAGTGAAAGGATGTCAGCACTCACAGGATTAGCTAACGCCACAGGAATTAACATCAACATCGCAGCTCTTCTAGCGCCCAGGAGTTCAGCCCTGTTTGATTTCTGTCCCCCATGCGGTGTTTACTGGTAGAAAAATGTGCTCATCTGAGACAAAGAAAGCTACAGTTTTAATTCTTCTTTCTGGTGTTTGCACAGTTTGGTGGGAATGTAAGCTCTGTTTCTAAGAATTACACAAGGTTCCCTCTCTGGAGGAAAGGAGAACAGGCCAGGATCAGAAAAACTGCCAGAGATGCCTCAGATTAGATTCAGTTAAGTACAAAAACTGCTCTCATGAAAATGATTTTTCTGTATGAGAAAACTATAAGAAAGAAAAAAACATTTAATTGTCATTCAAGGCTCCGTATGATGGAAAACTAACCTGTTTTGAAGTCATTGTTTTTGTGATGTCACTCAAACCATCACATTTACATATATCCACCTATTTGGCTTACTCCATTTTAGCTCTGCCCACTCATGCTAAAGTTATAAAGTGTGTTTGACCTGGACTGCTTTTTACATAACATAGAATATGGACTCTTCCATATGCGCTAAGTGGTACTGCTCTTCAGTGTTTTTTGTTTTTTATATAGCATTAATGGGGCACTTTCTTTGAGATCGGGATATGGTTTAACATCCCCCGCAGTGAAAGAAATTAATTAGAGTAATTTCTTTCACTATATATCTAGATATTCATATATCTATTAAATATATATATATTGGTTGGCTAAAGTTATTGGCTGCTGTTTAGGACCTGTGAATATATGAGTATTGGCAAAAAATCCACCAATATAGCAGCGATATTTGTGGCTTATTTCATATCATTATGAATCCCTGACCTGGGGGAAACAGTTCAATTTTGAAGATTTAGTGTTTGTCAATATTTTTGCGTACACAAATCTAAAGCAGCAAAGAAGCTGCAGTCCCAATACTACAATATCTAATTTATTTAAGACTTATTTAAGAGTTTATTACATCACAATTATATCAGATATCAATTTGTTGTAATTGTGTTACATGGTGTGTGTATATATATATG